TGCAGCCTAGTAATCCCTTTATTATCTACTCCGTAAATTTTACATACGAGTTGCACGGGTCTAAGACCCAAGGAAAAATAATCATGATCCGAAATGCTATTAACAAACGTTTCTTTAATGCTATGAAACGTATTCACTATACAAATGATCGCTCCCACTTATGGGGCCGTGTACCGTCTGTCGGTGAATATACAACTTTATTTATTTATTTATTTATGGAATGCAAATGGGATGGTGTGTTGTCAAGGCGTTTTTTGAGAAAGCGTTGATGTTGGGGCCAAAGTGACGTGGTTTGGAAGAGCATTCCATGTAATGGATACCCGAGGTGAGAAAACGTTTTATCGACAATCAAGTAGGCTATAATGCGTAGCTATTTTGAGCTGTGGTGGATTCGCAGATTTGTACTGTGGATGGTTGCCGCAGGCCGCGATAGGCAGGATTTGGGTTTCTTCGTATTAGGTACAGCATAATGAAGTTTCATCGATGACGACAATATTCATCACTGTACAAACCCAGGACCTGCAAACTGCGTTGGTAGACAAAGTGAGACAATCTTCTAATACTTTCATCGCCCAACATTGTGCCAGGGACGCCAGGCGTTAATAACTATTCCACGTGTGGTCTCATGTAGGCGTTCAATACTAGAGGAAACATAAATGGTTCGAGTTTTCCGAAAGCCCTCCACAAGAGTCCAAGCTGCTTATGGGCTATTTTCCATGCCTTTTTCGAGCAGCCTAGGTCATCATGCACGATTATCACAAGGTCACTTCGCTGGGAAGCACGCTGCAGCTGCTGGACATTAAGTCGATATTCATAGGTACGCTGATGGCGTGTGCTCATAACTTCGCATCTCGCAACGTTGAACTGGAGCCGGTTTTCGGATGACCACGTATAGGCCCTGTAGAGAAGACTCTATACTACCGTGTGATCGTCTACTGTCTTGATGTAACGCCAGATTTTGGTGTCAGCTGCAAATAGTAAGAAGTTAGACAGCAGTACTGTAGCAAGAAAGTTGCTGAATACTAGGAATAAACGTGGTCCCAGTACTGATCCTTGGGACACACCACAGTGGACTTCAACTGAGTTCCTAAAGGAGCCACGGACTCTCACATTCAAGTGAAGTTGAATGAGAAAGTAGTTTATCCAACCGAGCACAAGGTTACCGATCCCAAAGCTTCGAAGCTCGTGAAGGAGAATGTGGTGCTCCAGACGATCGAACAACAACAGCAGCAGTACATCAGCTATTTGAACTAATGCTTCACTGCTATACAACCATGAGAACTTATGAAATAAAGAATAAGAGGGAGAGAAAGGGGGGCTTACCTGAAAACCTTAATGCCTTAAGCAAACATTCAGGGTCAAGGCGCCTACACCTTGTGTAGACAACTTAGCGTCACAAACAGCTGGCTATCATGCAAAGATAAGGCGGCATCGGCGAGACAGCTTCCTTGCGGCTTTCACTGCCACGCGTCATAATCAGCCATTACTCCGCAGATAACACAGCAACAAACACACTTTAAACAGGCAAATCGATTAGAAGACGGCGGCAGACGCGCCACTGGTGTCAGTTGCGAGCGATGTCCTGTAAAGTCTCGAGTCAAGCACAAGACGAGTCACGTGGACTCCAGCCCGGAAGAAGAGACGGACCAACGGGACCCAGTTCGGTCGTCAATAACTTCATTTCCCACTGCCAAGTCAACTTTTGTTCACATCGAACATCTCAAAGAAGTCCAGGTAGACGACTTCGACTCCTACTCCGGCATCGACTGATTCCGTCCGGCTTCCTCAGGCTAGTAGCAGATTTGTAATGCACGACAGATTTCAGTGGAATCCGTGTTGATATGGCAGTATGAAGCTGTTGCTCTGAAGGTATCCCACGGGTGTCTCTGCGATAATGTCTTCCGTTACTTTGGATAACATCGATAAGAGAATAAGTGGGCGGTAGTTCCAGGGCTCCGCGCGATTCCAACGCTTGTATGTAGTAGTGAGTATTCCATGTTTACACATGGTCAGAACATGCATGTTATCACAGTATCGTTGAAAGAACCGAGCTAATGGTTCGGTGATATTCAAAGCGGGTCTTTAATGCCTTTGATTTTATGTCTTTCACGCCAAGAGAGCTGTGCACACGCGAGGACACTAGTATTTTAGTCACATTTGCAGCCGTGAACAATACATGACTTAACCCTGAGAGTGGTGAAAGCTGTGCCAGAAACCGGGTGGGAAGATGTAGTGTTGCCGAGGAGCAATGGCCGCATCTTGAGTAGAGAGTGCCGGAACATCTGCTGCACATAGAATCGAGATTCCGCACTGCACTCTCCAGCGCCTGTACAATACCTTAGGACTAATAGTGAATTTCTTCGCTAAGCCTTGTTGGAGTCAAATTTGTCTTCGTGGAACCAAAGTGACGCAGGTCTGCACACTTGTCCAGGCCCTGCGTGCACGCCGGGTGAAATTCCTTATGTCCATGCATTTTCGTGTCGGGCTCCTCAGGAAGCACTTCGCATGTGTTTGGCGGAAACACTTTGGCTTCCGAAGCCTTTGCGACTAGCCCGGTGAACTGGGCGACAAACTCCATCAAGGCAATATCGGGCGTCTGCTCGGGTAGGAAAGACCAGTAAGTTTCTCGAACGAGGTTGGACGGGATGTTGTAATCGGTAACACCACATGGGTTTCCTTGTTGTTTTCAAAGCTGTATTCCGCGTAGCAGATGTAACGGAAGAGCAGCGTCGCATAGTCGCTCCGGTAGCGATCATTGTGAAATACACGGCATAAATTCATAATAATAATAATAATAATAATAATGGGACATGAGACAAAAGGTTAGATAAAAGGAATGCAAAACGAAAACCCACATCGCCGGGAAGAAGCTTTGATATTCAGAGCTAGCGAGATTCACTGTGGAAGAGCGCTATCTTAAGTTGGATGGCACAGCGTGGATCGGAGAGTTCGTGGGAAAATTAAAGTTTATATGGACATAATAAGGCCATTATATTTTATAATTAAAAAAAATAAAGATAGGCAGATAGACCACACACGTCGTCGATTGGACACGGAGAAGTGCCATCAATTGAGCTATGAATGCGATCTCTGGGAAACCCGTGAATCGGTACAGGTAAGGCGTGTACAATCGTACCGTGATAGTCCGGCGATTGTACCATCAGTCGAAACGCAGGTGCTTGGTCGATTTAACAGCGTGACTAGATGCGTGACTATCGATGTGTTGGCTGCTTTCCGACTCAAATTCCTAACCAGACACAGTGGTGCTTCCTTAGGTTAACGGATAGACATCTTAGCGAATGACTAACGTAAGGAGCAAGAGCTGGAAAAAAGACTGCATGGTTTCATCTTCAGCCTATGATATAACCACAACTGAAAACTAAACACGATGCGTGTGTCCGCCTTCACCACCCCCACAGCTGTGAGTGGATAAGCGCGATGACCAACTACTGAAAACGAGCTTGTCCTACAAAGCTATTGCCTTTAATATCCTCTTTGGAGACGATTTCTCACTTACAAACGTATCCCGTTCCCGAGTTCAGTTAAACTTATCAGCTACGATCGACGCACAATGTTGACAATAATAATAATAATAGTAATAATAATAATAATAATATTAATAATAATAATAATAATAACGTCGTCATGTGGAGCATCCATGAGCCTGAACTAAGGAGGCGAACACAGGAGGAGCAACAAATTGAATTCGGGACTACGACATGTTCCGTAAAGTATTGGACCAATGAGAGATTATATCGAAGTCCCCACATCAAGGAAGAAGAGACACCCAATCGGCTCATCCTGGTCAGTATAACTAGCCGCTCAGGAGTTTCACCAAACGAAACACAACATTGACGGACAGCACATACATGGAGGCAGCCAGCTTGCAGCCAGATGTAGCACATGGTCCATACATCATGCGCGAATTGAGGTCGACAGTTCAAAGAGCATCAGAGGGGCCAGTTGTTCCCAAGCGCCAGATGACGAACCTCCACATTATGCATTAGATTGCCCAACTAGTGAGACCGATGAATCCAGTGGGGACTTCTAGCTGGCTAACAAGAAGAGGCTAGAGAACTGAACAAGGAAGAAGGGAGTTCCAACTTAGACTTCAGGTGGCTGCGTGTTCCAAGGTGGGACACGCTTAATGGCCCTTGACCCAATATTCAGACGCACAAGGCAGCGGATTTGGGATCTGCTCGAGGCATGCGAAGTGCCAGTTTGGTGGAATTGAAATGACCCATACATATCTTACTCCACAGGCGATGAAAAATAGACAAATATCGATCTAATGTGTCTCAAATGGTGTATGTGAAAAGTGTGATGCGAACGTTCATGAGGCAGTTATAGGAAAAACAATATTTCTCCGACTGTCGGACAAGCACCGATACGATATCGGCAAGCGCACCACCAATCAGACAGACAGCGCCAATGAATCGATAAACGATTTAAACAAAACAATTTGACATCGATGGCGCGCGCGAGGACGAAAACGGGGGATGAACAGCATTCAGCCAATGAAAGTTGGCTGCGATGACGTGACGCACGAGACTGAGAACCTATCGCAGATGGGATTGGTAAAGACTCGATACAATCGATTGCAGAATACACAAACTGGCCGTTTTGGTGTGAATCGATTATTGCGGAAGTCCAGCACCCATCCAGTCTTGGGGGAGATCCCACAAGTACCGAGACCGCTGGAACGTTATTCCGTCGCTCCGCGTTACTCTTAAGCAGAGAGTATTCCCCACATGGTTCAATACATACAATGCAAAACATGGAAGTCGTGCGGTTGACTACTTACAGCTCTGCATATGTGAATGTGTCGATTTGTAGGAAACAACTTCCTCGCATGATCATTCGAAGCGAGTGATTACCACAAATCAATGGAAAAGCTGGTGTTTAACGAATAGAAGATTGACTGCAAATATGGTTTGTTAGGCGACTAGTGCTAGCGAAGAAGGGGATAAGAGCAATTGATGATTTGGACATGACCTCACCTGGGCCGTTTGCTCAACTTTTTGCACAGATGTGCAACACGTGTGGAACAAAGTGCCAGCCACCGACTTCACCACTCCCTCGGCGACAGTTAGGAGAGGGATGTCCGGGTTGGAATCCCTACGGCATCCGTTCGACTGCGGTTCAAGAATCTCCGCCTCTGCCGCTGTGCCAGAGTGGTGTAGATCGCGCATGGAGGACAGGGTGGATTTGGCTCCGGTAGAGGCGGAATGAAACACCAACTGGTGTAGAATTCCGAACATGATAACAGCCACCTCCTGATGTGCAGGGGGTAGTGTACTGAGGACCCTGTAAAATCAAAGCAGCGAGTGGACAAGCAATGAGAAAACAACAGTGATGGAAGTTGAAAGCAGAAAGGAGAGATTATGGGAAGCGCAGGTGCTGTCACAAAATTGAAACGAAAGAGGATGGCCACCGGTTCACTAGATGAGCAATATGAAAAGTCAACTGCCAGTTATTGGAACTGACTAAAACAAGCTGAATGGTGGACAGAAGGTAGAGACTAGTTTAATGACTGTCACCGAAAACGCTCTTCCATAGTAAAGCGGAGTGACCGTGAACGGCTTCGTATAGTGAATGGGCTACAACGACAGAGGACATCAGACCGACAACATCAAATAAGTGAACCTTACAGTCTCCCAAAATCTAGTAGCAACATCATTAATAGCACATAGGCCATTTGAACTGATGTTTCCCTGCCATACAACGACAATGACCTACAGAACGAAGAATAATAACGGGGAGAAAAGGGGGCCCTGGCGTAAAAGTTAAGTGCCCTAAGCAAGCATGCAGAGTCAAGATGTCGACATCATGTCAACAAGATACCATCACAAACAGCTTGCAATCATGCAAAGATAAGGCAGCATCAGTGAGACAAACACCTTGCGACATTAAGTGCCTCGCGTCATAATCAGCTATTACCCCGCAGGTAACTCAGCACCAAACATAGTTTAAACAGTTAGTCCGACCAGGAGACGATGCAGACACGCCACTGATGTCAGCTGCAAGCCATGTCCTCTAACATCTCAAGCGCGAGTCAGGTGGACTACAGTCTAGAAAGCGTGACGGACCGATGGTATCGAGTTTGGTAGTCAGTGACCACTCATCGCTTTGCGCCAACTTACATCTCGCAAACAAAACAAGGACCTCCTCGGTAAGCGGTAAAATAGTACATGCTAAAAACCAACGCAATTTATTCAGTGTTGTATGTTGTTATAAGAAACTGACCTAATTAGCACTCTTTCGAACTGCATCTGTACCGTTCCGTACGGACTCGGACGGATAGTGGTGTGAAGGAAACTCGAGATTGCATGTTTTGCTAAAGTATAGGAGAGTGAGCGTCATGTCGCTTCCGTTGTTACACGTAAACTGCAAGCGATAGCACGCCCGTGGTCGGGACACTAGCAGGACGCCAACAGCTGTTGCCCGATCAGTAGGTGAGTTGCCTTCCTCGTGATCCACAAGTCAGCCGTTAGGATCCGCAAGCGGACTCGGAGAATAACCCTAGCCCGTGCGTCGCTGGCGATGGTCACGTGCGATTATCAACTTAATTTGCTAATGGGTTACCATTAAGAATGTAAAGTTTACAATGGGTAGAAAACTGAGGATTCACTGATCGATCGAATAACGATTCCAAAAAGCAGGGCTAAAGCTGCTCGATTGGTATCCATCGAAAACGGAAAAGGTTTCACATAAAAATGTTACAAATGATGTAGAATTTTGTGTCCAAAGATAATAGATCGCGGATCGTGCGCGGTATCTCGCGTGTACTTTCAAAGTTGAATGGAGTAAAGAGCCTCAGTGACTCGTGCAATACTGAGATACACACTGTAGATAATGTAAACATGACGTTCGGCAAAAAAGCAGCGGCCGATTTAAAGGCCCCGCCAAGCTTAGGTTGAAAAAAATGGTCGTCGCTAAAAAGGGACGGTTGTAAAAAGGGTATTGAAAGTGAAAAACTAGGTCTACTAATCTACAGAAATGTTGGCAAAGTGGTTCTAGCTGCATAAAGTCGATTGTGTATGCTAAAGAAGGATATGACGAGGGGGCAGTGAAAAGCGCAAGGAAGCTGTCTGGAAAGGTGCCGCTTTAGCTCTGCACGATAGCCAGCTGTTTATGACGGTATGTTGCTTACACAAGGTGTAGGCACCTTGATCCTGAGTTCATGCTTAGGGCATTAAGTCTTTCCGCCAGGTCTTCTTTCACTCCAACTTATGGTGCTTCGTTCCGTAGGTCACCGTGAGTGTACAGTAGCGAAGCATCTGTTCAAATGATTGATGTAGTATTGTTAATGCTGATGATGCTAAAGAAGCAATAGACATTGTATACAGATTTTTATAGTTAAATTGACGCCCCGCAAAATACCGAGGACGAAACACCACAATTCGGCACTGAAGTCTAACCGTCCTCGGCATGCAGTTCTGGTAGTTGTTTGGGGAAAAATACTGAGAGGCCAAGCATACTCCACGGGTTAGTGTACTTGAATGCTTCACTGCGAAAGAAAATGTCTCGAGTGAACGTTTGATATGCCAACTCAACGGCAGTGTGCACGCTACGATCGGCTGGATGCGGTGCGGTCTGGTTATCTGGTCGCGTTGGCTCGAAGCCAAGAGTGCAGTTGACTGACAGAACTGATGAATGTAGCAACAGAACGCCGTGACGATGTTCCACGGAACAGGTGTTTGATTACTCCGAGCTCTCAATCACCCTGTCACCGTAGGTAAAGACGTTTTCATGGCGATACTAACACGACCTCCAGATTGGACAAACATGCCAAATCTCACCACAGATGAGATATAGGGCAAGAAACAGGAACGATATCTGTACCTTCCTTTGATTTCCATGGGTTTGATTGCTCCATGCCTATTCATAGGCTGTTGCATTATATATATATATATATATATATATATATATATATATATATATATATATATATATATATATATATATATATATATATATATATATATATAATGAGGTGTCAGAACACCGTTGACGAGTAGGACGCTTCAGAATTACGCCAAATGAAAGAAGCAAGCAGAGAAGGCGGAGAGAAAAGCTCGCAACAGTTCTTCCTTTGAGAACGCACCCGGAAACACTTCTCAAGCGGCCATGTCAGAATCAGTCATCTGTGGCTTTGAATTGCTGCCACATCCCGCATGTTCACCAGATCTGACCCCATCAGACTTTCATCTGTTCCGTAAACTGAAACCACACCTCCGGGGCTACAGATTTGTCAACAATTTATAAGCTTAGTGTTGTGGAGCTATTTATACTGAGAAAGTCTTCGACCTTGTTCCACACAGGGACAACGCTTGAGTAAGTGCACTCAATCTGAAGGAGATTATGTGGTGAAGAATGACTTGGGTAGCTGCCTTCTTTCTATCTCAGGCCGATAAATTTTTGACCCACCTAAGTATATCAATCTCCTAAACGATAGCTTGATGAAAGGAATGTGCTCGAGATTTTGGCAAAACCGTAAGGACTGAGCAAGCAAATGGTACGCGAAATGTTGATGAAAGCCGAAAGACGATCGGATTCTCCAAGCATGAACTCTCAAAGTCGTTAGTGGGAGTTTCGTATCAGCCAGTTTGAGCACACGGCGACTTTTGGCATCACACCAGAACATCACATGTTAAAGAGTAAACACAGATCATGACCATAGAAACAAGCAGTGGCCTCGGATGACAAGCGTTGCGACGTAAACCGGCTAATTTCTTCTATCCCCTAGAACGTCCGCTTTCAGTACTCTAAGTGGCCTGGTAAATTGACACAAAGCAAATCAATTGGGCTACAGCTGTGATGCCAACATCTAGGCTATTGATCGATGAATACGGACACTTGTAATGAGTACTGGCCGCTGGGAACGCTTTGAATGGAATTTCGGAACAAGCACACATAGAGGATGACGATATCTGAAGCCTGACTAACGCTCACCCACAAATCCGTCCCTACAGACTAATTCCCGGAAAACAAGCTTGTCAGTCAACATCAGCTTTAGCGTACCGTCCAAAGGTAAATATTTTAACATTCCGCATGTACTCAAACCCAAATGTGTGATTGATTGCTAGCGGTGAGTCACCGGTGTGGATAAGTTTCCAGTGGGAACGAAGAAGACACATTCCGTAGCCAATGGACATTCGTGTGACTACTACTGCGGCCCCCAAGCTGCAGCTGTCGCGTCCGAATGGAAAACGTCGCATTCGTTTGTCTCCGTGGTCGATTCGTCAAAACAGGGATGAATTCGGTGCTGTGTTTCGATACGAAGCACGCACATCAGTGTGATGAATCCAGTTGCTGCTGTACACCTCACCAGAATATAATAAAAACTCCGTACGTTGACCACTCAATGGACTGGACCGTTGTCTAGGTAACTTGCACTACCAACGGGCCAGATTTTAGTCGTTCCGTCCCTATATTTGACTTTGAGTTGGAAGATGAATCAGTGAAAGCAGCTGTTTACTAAATGGGCTTTTGCCCTCTCATGTTAAATGTTAGAACTGTTTAGTTGCATTATTTTATCTACAGGTTGATATTTTCTTTCTCCACCATAAGTATTACCTTCCGCTAATTGTGTACTTCATCTGAATTTTGCCCGACGGTTTCAGGTTTACATCTGATCCCAACCGTTGTCGGAAAGAAAGCAATATTGAAGACAACAATGAAAACAAAGAACCATTTTGTTTACTACAACAATCTCCACTGTATTAGTTCGAATTTGCCTTGTGTGCTATAAACAAATCAGTTTGGTCATTTGTTGAGAATATAGATTACGTAATTAGTAGTATTACTGTTGTGCAGGTCTAATCCTAGTGTATATGGTAGGTGGCATCCGGTTCCGGATTTGCCTGTCATTGTGGCCAGCCACAGGACGCCTGCGCCTACAAAGGGGACCATGGATGGCTTGCGCTGCACCACCCACAGCTCCAACCACACACCCCATTTCCAGTGTAAACCCGAAGGAATAAGACCGGGTGGCATGTGGATAGGAACCACAATTCATCAACGGAGCCGGCCCACACTCCTTCATAGGCAAACGCAAGCACGCTGTAGTTGGGGAATCAATATCACAAAAGTCGGTGACTAGACCGTAGTCCCATCCACACTAAGTGCCTAACACGGCCACAAAGACCGTGCATCCGGTCCCCTTCAGCAACGACCAACTGTGCCCTAGAGCCAGTATGGACGAGGTAGTGGGTAATAGACAGGTAGGCAACTTGTCAACATACAGGTGGTGGGTTTCATACAATACCATAAATAAGAGTAATACTATATTCTCAATGTTTAAT